AGGGAGGAGCGTGGCCTCGGTGTGATCTGCCCGTGTCCCTTCCCAGTCCTCCATGGTCCTTGCCCCTTCGCTGCACCCCCAGGGCTCGGGGGCTGCCCGCCAACGCCAGCGGTCCCCTGGTTCACCCTGGGGAGAACTTGTCTGCCCTCTCCCTTGGCCCGTGGCTCCCCTGCCACCCCTCTGGTCACTGGAGGCAAAATGGTGACCTGTCACAATACCTTCGGTGCCGGCACAAGGCCCTGCAGCCCCTCTGGAGACAAGGGAGACCCCACCAGCGGCTCGGCCACCTCGCCATTGACCCATCCCACAGCTGGACCTCTCCAAGGCCTCCAGCCTCTCCTCCAGGAGGAACTGGGCCCTCACATCTAGCCTCTGCCCAGCAAGCAGAGCCGTGGCCATGGGCTGTGGGTTGCGGTACCTGTAGATGCCCACGATGGCTGTCTCCCATGGGGTGCATCCCACGGTCTAACCTGGTGAGCATGAGGTCCTGTTGGCTCCCACAGCAGCCCCCTGGGTCTGGGCGCTGGACTTGGAGCCTCGGACACCCCTCGCCAGGCCTGTCGTAGCAAGCGGTCAGCGGGGCAGAGGAGATGGGCGCGATTTGTCATGGGCACCAGCCCCTGCTTGCCCCGGCTGGGCGAAGGGAGCAGCCACTTGTGCTCTCTCCTGTCCTTTATTGCTGTACAAAGGCCCCTCGTGCAATGGTTCCTCCTGGCAGGGGGGCGCTGGGCGATCGTTTTGCAGCGGCCGGCAGTGCGCCAAGCTCCGTCGAGGCAGAGCCCTCCTCTCCGCAGCTCCGTTACAGGCTGCAACAAAGCCCCCGTTGTGATGAAGTGCTGGGAAGGGAAGGATTGAAGAAAATCCCCATCCCTTCCCTGCCCTCTCTGGGGGGCGGTGCAGGTGGGGATGGGGCACGGTCCGTGGCGCGGCATGCCGAGCAAGGGGTGCATCCCCCCCGGGGGCTGTGGCGTGGCAGATCACATGCACACTCAGCTCTTTTCTTCTCCAGCTGCAGCTGGGAAAGGGCATTGCCCTTCCACTCTTCTGCCAAGGGACCCCACTGGGCCAGGTCACCTTCTTCCTCCTCTTCGCCATCCACAGTTGATGGGAAGGGAAGTCACCATGACTTGAGGGTGGGGGCAAGGGGAAAGCTCTCCCCGTGGCCTTGTGTTTGCCCCGGGGAGGGAGAGGGGCAAGCTGTAGGACCCAGGGCCAGCACTGGAGCTGGCTGATTTAAGACTCAAGCGGGACAAGAGTGAAACTTGGCTTTTCTAGCACGTCGGTTAAAGGCATCCCAAAGCAGCAGAACGCACTTGAACCTCTGGGCTAGAGCGGAGGAAAAGCCGGCTGACCGGGTTCTCCATGTGGGAGCACCCCTGCCGAGGCCAGCCCAGACAAGCATTTGTCTAACCTGCTCCTAAACACTTCCAGGAGGCTCCACAGCCTCTCTAGGTCATCTACCCTCGTACTTAACCCTCCTGGTTAGAAAGAGCTTCCTATTCTCCCACTTAACCCCCTTTGTTGCAATGCAAGTCTACAGGAAGGGGGTTCTTAGCTTCATGTTGCAGGTGGGGAAACTGAGGCACGAGGTAGGTTGGAGACCTAGGGTCCCGGTTAGGAACAGAAAAACCCTTGTGTCCCAGTTGACCTGCTGCAGAAGACTCCTGCCCCGTGGGAGCCCGCTAGCCTGAACATCAAGAGCCGCAGGTCTTCTCCCCGCGCACGGAGGCTCGGGCAGCGCACGCGGCTCCACGCTCGGGGGCGGACGGCCTCTAGATATGCCACCGTGTGTCGGGCACTAATTTGCAATTTAGCTCTTCCGTCTAGTTTTCTAACTGGGTAGTTTTGTGCATCTTTCTTCCCCACTCTGTGCTGGCAGCAGAGACGCCTGGCAGGCGAAGGCACGGGGAGCTGTGGGCACCGACGCCGGCTAAACCCAGGCTAGGAAGACGGTGCCCAAAAGCAGGCAATCAATGGTGATGCGAGGAGGCAGTGGGGTGCCTGTCTCGAGCCCGGCTGCCCCAGCCCCTGGGGCTCGAGCTGGAGATGCCTCGGTGACATTCCTGGCCCGTGCCAGCGAGAGGTTAGACCAGTTCCCTCACTTGGCCTTCGCAGCGATGGAAGCGCCTGTGGCTTTGGCTGTTCTTCCAGCAGAAGTCTCCTTTCCGAAGGGCTTTTTTCCCCGCTGGAAGCGTGGGGAGAGCAGCCCCGTTCGGGGAGCGCTGGCTCGCCGGTTTGGAAGGACTGGAAAGCTGCTTGTCAACGGGCCTTCGTGCCTGCACAAAGGAACGAGCGCGCGGGAAGCCACAGCTCAGCGTGAGCACTTGGAAACCCGTGCTCGAGCCAAAGGCTGTGCCGGCTGCATTTCGGGGACAGGGATTAAGAGGCATTTTGGTTTCTTAAAGACTGGGATGGAGTGGAGGGATGCTGCTGAGGCTCAGGCCAGAGCGTCCGACGTCTCCGCAGGAAAGATGCCATTCGGAAGCAAGGCGGTGGCCAGGCCTAACCGTGAACGTGGGATTGGGGGGGCCTGGAGCAGCTTCTGGTCAAGATGCCAGGAAATGGGCCGGCTCCTCGGGCCAAGGGCCGTGCGCTTGAGCAATGCTGGAAGCACATTCCTCCTTGTTTGCAGGCAGACGATGGTTTGGAGAGAGCCGAGGAGAAGAGCGCCCTGCGAAGGGAGGGGAAGAGACTGCCTTGCCCCAAGGTCTGTGGCTGAGCCAGGGATGGAAACCCCAGGTTTCAGCTGCTCCAGCCACGGCTCCTACACAAAACAGAAGCCTTTCCTTGGTGCGAGGAGATGAGGGGTTAATTGATCTGCTCCTCTTCGCAGGCCCCTTTTTGTCATCAAAGGGAACCAGTAAAGTTCCCGCCAGCTCCATCGGGCTTAGCCACAAATGGCTCCCAGATCTCTGCTGTCACACGATGGCAGGAAGCATCCGGAGGAGCGCGCGGGGCCCAGGGTCTGGGACACTGCCTGTTCCCTGGGGACAGAGGGCTTTTTCCCATGTGCTGTTCCTGCTTGACCCCGACCCGGTCAGCTTGGAGCATGTGGGATGGGATCAGGGCTTTGCGGGGCCCTCCCAAATCCACCCCCCCCAAGTCCCAACAGATCCCCACACACACAGCCGCTCCAACACACTCGAAGCAGCACCAGGAAACCCTCCCGACTGGGTTTTGCAGTCTCCGGAGGGTGCAATGGCCTGGGCCAGGCTTGGCCTTGCAAATCAGCATCTTTTGCAAGCTTCAGAGCCTGGCTAACGGCTGAACCCGGGGACGGGAGGCCGGCAAAGCCAGCTGCACGACTCTCTTTGCAGGGTGCTGAGATCTTGTGCTGCTCCCAGCCAGACCCCTTGGGTTTCAGTGCAACGAAGTGCATCGCGGGCAGCTGGGCACTGAGGTCCCACAGAGCTGATCTCCACTGCAAAGTCAATGCAAGTATCCCAAAGCCCCTGGCTCAAACTCCTTAAGCACGCATTTAACTTCAGCAAGCGCTTGAGTCTATGGGTGCTGAAGCGCTTGGCTGAATGAGCTCTCATGCAGGGGAGTCTGCCAGGTTTGGGGCTGGGGGTCCGGTCTCTCCCGACCGCCTGGCCGAGCAGGCTCCTCCATCTCTACCACTCTGCCGGGTCCCCGAATACACCCGCAAATAAAACAGAGCGCAGGCTAACTGCAGAAAAGGTTTAACAAAAAAAACACAACATTTATTCAAATCAAAGGCAGCCTTTTCTGAAAACCATGACTAAACTTCATTTCAATGCCTGTGGTTTCCATCCGAACAGCAAATCTGAGCAAGCAGAACAGGGCTTTGATTTCTATCAATAAATATAAAAAAATAGAATAAATTATATTAAAAAATAGAATAGGTAACACTGACAGACCAGCGAATGGCTCGTAGCGAAACAAAGCGGAGCCTGTGGCAGGGGGTGGAATGGAAGAATAAATAGAGAGAAGGCAAATGATTATATGACCTTGAGCCACAGCGATCAGTTGTCGCTAGCAAAGCCATTGCGCTCGCTACCAGAGGAATGTCGTATTTTAGGCACTGGGATCTGCCCATCTCTTGAGATACAAACCAACAGAATAAAAACTACAAAACCTAGTGGGGGAGGGGGGGAAGGGAGATCCTTAAAGTTGCTCATAAAAAACCCCCAAAACTACGGAACGGCCTCGGTGCCTGGCTACGGGAACAGGCCAAGCAAATAAATCGAGCCAGGCTTCGGTTCAGCCTACTCCTGACATGACAGCATGCGGGCTTCCTTGCCGCTGGAAATGTAATGCATTGCTTGTAACATCGGTTTTAATATCGGTTCCTCGTCATCCTCTTATAAAGAGCAAAGGCAAACAAACGTCGCTTTGTCACTGCAAAGTCTCGGCAACTCCAACCCGAGCGGCTTTGAAGGCAGCTGGAAAACGAGCAGAGGTCACTTTGGGAACATCCCGCATCCCCGCAGCTCGGGAGCAGATTAGAGCGACGGGGAAGGGAAAGGCAAGCGCTCTGCTTCGGCCGGCGGAGAGAAAGGACAGCACCATGGAGGTGGCATTAGCTGCTCAGCAGCCACAGACCCGGGTCTCAAGGCCACCCGTGAGGCCTTTCCAGGGACGCTACGTGGCACCATCGCGGCTGGGTACAACCACGGCACTTCTTCAGGGCACATCGTGGCCTCGTGCTCCCCTCCGGAGCCAGCCAACCTGGCACAGCAGCAATGGGAGAAATGACCCAACAATAATAATAATATTAACAATAAATAAAGGTGACTGCTGCGGAGGCTGAACTGTAGGTGCAGGCCAGGCGGGAAGGACTGGCCAGCTCCTCCGAGGGCACTGCCGTCAGCCCCGTCGGCTGGTCCCCGTGGACGCTTTTGGCTGGAGGATGATGCCAAGCACACTTCAATTCTCCACTTCAAGTATTTCCTGCTTTGCACGTCCGCCGAGTGCCTCCGTAGCCCCTGGTGAGGCGCTCGCGGGAGGGGGCTGCGTCCACTGGGGAGGTCTCCTTCTCAGATGGGGATCCCCACGGTGTTGATCTGGTCCTTCAGCCCCATGAGGCTGTAGGCAATTCGCTTCTGGTGGCCTGGCAAGCGTACCCCGATCTTCTTAATGTCCCTGGGGAACGAGAAGGGGGGGCATTACCGTACAGAAAAGGCTGGGCTGTTGTGGGGGGGAGCTGCTCTCCACCTCCAGGCCAGAAGCCTGGTGGGGGTCTCCAGCCGAAGCTCCCCACCAGCTCCTCCATCCCCGAGACCCGCTCTGAGCAGCACAGCCAGGACCGCCCCGGTCTGAGATGCAAGGTGCACTGGTCCCCAAAGTCACCACCACCAGCAGTTGCTCCAAACTGGTGCAACACTGGTGTTGGGGGCAAGGAGCCTGCTATCTACGGGCCGGCTCCAGGGGTCCCTCCTTTGTCCCCCTCCTCTTCCCCTTTGGATCCCAGCCCGGGGCCCAGGCACACGGAGAAGCCTCCACGGGCTTTGGCTCCGGCCCTGCGTTCTCACCCACGGCTAGACGCTTTCTCATGCCCTGCCCTGGTGCTGCTTCCTCCTCGCGGCTGCCGCACCTGAACAGCAAGCAGAGGCTGCCCCATCGCCTGATGATTCAGTCCCTCCCCAGCTGCTCGGCCCCATGGAGCGAGTTAATTAAAGGGTGCGTGCTCAGCTCTTGAGACATCGCGGGGGGACGGGGCAGGGAGAGCAGAGGGAAGAGAGAGCTCCACACACCTCCACGGGTAATTAACCACGGCAATTAGCCCTATTCATCACTAAACCTGGCACAAAAGGGCTATTATCCTTGCATTACCCAGGGGGAAGCGCGGGAGCAGTCGGGCTCAAGCGGAGAAGGAGAGCTGCCAGCCCCTAGGCAAAGCTGCCTCCTGGGGAACGTCCCCCGTGGAGGCTGCAGCAGGCAGCGGGGAAGCAGCCGCCTCGCCTGGCCTCAGCACCCACAAAGAAAGAGACGCCCTCCTCCCTCGGTGTTTGGAGCCAGGGACCTCACAGAGCCAGGCCCGGAGGGAGTGAGGGGAAACTGAGGCACGAGAAGGGGAAGCGACTGTCCCAAGGCCATCAAGTAGCCCGGTGGCAGAGCCCGGAAGAATCCAGGTCTCCCAATGTGCTAACCACCCTGCCTGCTCTTCGCTTAGCAGGACATGCCGGCTCCAGGAGGAAGTTTCCCCGGGCCAGGCAGAGCCAACTTTGTTCCCGGCACACGATGTTCTCCCGAGATCCCCGGATACTGCCCCCCCGCTCCAGTCCATCCCCAGGGTGCAGCCGAGTCATCCCATGGACCGTTCCCAGCCCAGCTCCTGTTTACACGAGGCTATATTTAACCGGAGGTGCTGGAGCGGGGTCACTTCCTGGGGGACGAGCCTCCCGGGGGGTTTGGTGCGGTGGGGGGAAGGAAAGGGGCCGCCTCTGTTTCCCCCTCCTCCCCACTGCCCTAAGGCCAGGAGCAGGGGCTCAGTGCGGTCCCTGACTGCATGTCACCAGGCTAGTCCAGAGCCAGGAAATCCAGCTGGGGGGTGAGAGGGCAGCAAGGGAGCTAATTTTATCCCCGCCTGAAACCGAGCCAGACACACAACTGCCAAGGAAAGAGGGAGCAAACATCCTTCTCCCCCAGGCAGCAGGTCTGAGGCTGCTCCAAGTCGTAGGGTGCTGAAGTGCCCCTGGGCTCAGCCTGCCTCCCGCAAGCCCAAGGCAACACGTGCCAGCTTGGGGAGGGCCGGGTCCAGGACACGAAGCTGCTCGTTCGTTCTCAGCCACCCGTGGGCATAGGCCCCTCTCCAGCCCCGTGGCCGTGAGGGCTTCAGGGATGAGGCTCTGGGTGCGAGGGCGCCGGGGAGACACTCACTCGTTGCTCATCTGCGCCACCTTCTCGATGGTGGTGTAGCCGGCCGACGTGAAGTGCTCCGTGTACTGGTGCATCTTGATGGACTCCAGCCACTCCGCGACGGTGCGGAAGGGGATGCCCTCCGAGCCGCTGGTGCTGGGCAGGCGGATGGACACCCTGCGAGGGCGAGACAGCTCCAGGAATTAGCTTTGCTGTGCAGTGCGGCGGGGGGAGATCCCCTCCACCACCCTGGGGAGAGCCTCCCACGGGGCAGGGCCGGGGGCTGGGGTTCAACGCACTCCAGCTTCAGGTGCGGTAGCTCTGCTATCCATCACCCCACTGCCCCCAGCCTGGTTCCCCCCAGCCCTCTGCCACCAGCCCCCTCCAGCTTGGCGGCTGTCTGGCAATGCCAGCTGCACACGATTTAGTGTCCCCCACTCCATGCCTCCAATACCAAGAGTGTCTCAGACCCTCACACTGAGACCCTCCTGGCTGAGCTGGAGATGGGGCACAGCAGCCGGGCTGTGGAGGGGGCTGGAAGGGGTGCCTACCGAGGGTCGAAGTCAGCCATGGTCTTGAGGGATTCGGGGGCCCGGATGAGCTTGTCGAGGATGCTGACGATGTCGTTGAACTTGGGCCGGCGGCTCCTCTCCTGCTGCCAGCACTGCATCATCAGCTGGTAGATGGCGGAGGGGCAGTCCACAGGCGCAGGCAGCCGGAAGCCATCGCTGATGGCCTTCATGACCTGCCACGGGGAAGGGGTGGTGTGTGAAGGGGGCGAGCGAGCTGGGGAGTGGGGACCATCCCCTATCCCCAGGCAAGCTGGCTGGGTCCTGGGAACATCAGGCTCCCCCTGGGTACATCAAGCCCCCCGATGCTGAGCAAGTCTGTGGGTCAGAGCTGTGGGTCAGAGCATCCTCCGAAGCGTGGCCCATTTGACCCCCGCAGGCTGTGAAGGCGCTGGGCTCCACAGAGCATGCTGCTCAGGGCCCAGGCGAGCAAGAGATTTGGGCACGGCTCTCCTGCCAGCTCCCCCCGTGCCTGGCCTGGCGGGGGGGGCGCGCGCACCCCCC